GTCTGTCTAGGAAAAATACGAATAAAAGGATAAAATAGATGGGAAAGATCAAGGCTGCGAACGCCCTGCAGCTACCTCGATACTCCCGGGTACTGCTGCTCAGCTAAACAAATCCTCACTCACCCTGTGGTATACCTGAATCTGCACACAAAGGTGCAGGGAGTATTGTGAGTACTTCCAACCCAGAAAGTAATAAATATAAATAAAGTTTGAGGATAAAAAATCCTAAATAGACACAAAGCAAAGCAATAAATACAATAACCATCTAAGACAATTATAATAACGCCACAACAGATGAAGAATAACTGACAATTAAATATGCAATGCAACACATAAACCGGTACCTCCAGTACCCCGTTGCGGCCGTGCGGCCCGCTCCATTTATTTAACTTCGATGGCGCTCACTGGGGGTGTGCAGACTCCGGGAGGGGCCCCTTACGGCCCAAGCGCAATAATAAGCCATCTCGTGGCATCAATCAGGCCCTTGGCCTCATATCAATATCATCATCATACCACTGCGGCGTGCAGTCCGATCCCATACTCAGTCCAAAATCACATAAGCCTTTCGGCACAATAATATAAAAATATTCAGCCCAAACTTCATTTAAAAATATTACTTTAGTTTCTACTTTTAGAAAAATGGCTGAGTTTACAAAACAGTGTTAAATACCAGGACTGAGTTCAATATGTAGAAATATGGTAAAAAACCAGTAAAAATAATCCCTGAAGGATTCAAGTAGTTCGCACGAAGCCCAATTATGACAATTAATCCATTTTTATAAGGATATCACAAAACTACAAACAATTAGGTAGTAATTTTGTTAAGCGGGACGGACCAATTCACGATCCCCGACGGTGCTCTACCCCACGCCCGTTATCCGGCGTGCAAGTCACCTCAACATAGCACTACAATGTGCAAATTCAGGGTTTCAAACCCTCAACACAGTATTTACATCTATTACTAACCTCAAGCTGGCCAAAGTCCTAGCTTGCTATGCCTTTGCCTTTTGAATTCACCTCCGCGTGTGTCGAATCTGACCAAAACCACAACGAATACATCACAATATGCCAAGGGAATATAACCCAATCGAAAAGACTCGAAAAATATCGAAAATCACGAAGTTGGCAAACCCAAGCCCCGGGCCCACTTCTCGAAAAATCAGAAAATTAACATCACTGGATTCATTATCTCGCCACGAGTCTATACATATAAAGAACACCAAAATCGGAGTCCAAATGACCCCTCAAACTCTCATTTTTGTTCTCTTAGGTTTCAAGCCCTAAACCACCATTTTTGACCTTAATTCTTTGAGTTTTCAGTCAAATTTCCTGTATTTGCATGATAAAATCATTTTCTAAGTTCAAGGATGCTTACCTGATCGAAGTCCTTGAATTCCCTCTTCAAAATCGCTCAAGAACACCCCAAGTCCGAAGTTAAAATATGTGTTATGTAAAATTTCGCGAAGGAATTAAAACCATCTTCTGAGCAGTTATTTTCGCTTCTGCGGTAAAATGTCGCTTCTGCGACTTCCGCATCTGCGGTCCACGTCCGCTTCTGCGGACCTTCATTTAAGGGCCTTGACCGCTTCTGCGGCCCAAATTTCGCACCAGCGGGACCGCCTATGCGGTCCTAACTTCCGCTTCTGCGGAACCTGACATGGACCAACTTTTCCGCTTCTGTGCCTTCCTACTCGCTTCTAAGAGACCGCACCTGCTGTCCCACAACCGCAGGTGCGAAAATACCAGATACCAGCACACCTGCAATCTCCAAACTTCAATTTTCATCCCGTTAGCCATCCGAAATCACCCCGAGGCCCCCAGGACCTCAACCAAAAACACAAACATGATCCAATACCTTATTCAAACTTGCTCCAATCATCAAAACATCTCCAACAACACTAAAACCATCATTTCTCATCGAATTCAAGCCTAAGTTCTTCCAAAACCTCCGAAATGCACATTCGATCAAAAACCCAACCAAAACACCTCCGAATGACCTGAAATTTTGCATACACATCCCAAATCACCTAGCGAGGCTACTGCAACTCTCGGAATTCCATTCCGACTCCTGGATCAAAGTTTCACCTATCAACCGGAACTCGCCAAAATACTAACTTTGCCAATTCAAGCCTAATTCTACACCGGACCTCCAAAATCACTTCCGATCACACTCCTAAGTCACAAATCATCCCCCGAAGCTAACCAAATCATCGGAATTCAAATCCGAGGCCTCTAACACAAAAGTCAACGTCCGGTTGACTTTTCCAAAACAAACCTTCCTTAAAGAGACTAAGTGTCTCATTTCCTTCTAGAACCAATCCAAATCAACTCTAACATATCAAATACTTGTAATGAAGCATAAAGAATTAGAAAATGGGGGAAACGGGCTGTAACACACGTGACGACGGGTCGGGTCGTCACAATATCAATCTCTTAATTAGTAGTAATAGCGATTTTGATATGAATCTTTTTCTAGGAAAAGGACTTTAAATGAATTGAAGAGGATAAATTAAGCAGAATGCGTGCTAGCTTTATTACCAGGATCTGGTCCTGAAGGAACTGAATATAGCCAATGGCTTCTGTTAATACTGAGGTTGTATCAGTCTGCATATTCCCATTGCGGGAGAAACAAGAAGTATTTACCATGGTACAAACAATAAAATAGTACAAGTACTCTCCTTCACTCAGTTACTCGTTTTTAGTGGGTTCTGATGGTATAAATTATCTGAAGAGTTCAACAAAAGCTCTGGTGCCCTGTACCATCTGTTTACAACATATTCCGTCATATTCTCATTCTCTATGTTTGGCCTAGAAAGACCAAAGTCACATATCTTTAGATCACAATTTGCATTTAACAAAAGGTTGCTCGGACATACCAATGCATCGAGCAATTTTCTGTCCTCCAATGAAATAGCTAGTACCCTTCAATCCTGTTGCTTCTCAATTGCTACAGCTTCTGGTGTGTTTGCATCCAACTGATGCTGCCCAGATTCAACATTAATACCAGCTGAATTCGTTGGATTATGCTGCTGTTGCTGCCCAGTTTGCAATGCTACTGCCCAATTAACTGTAGCTCGATCTGCAACAGTTTTCAATGCACCAGCAGTAGCTAGGTACATTCTTGCAAATATAGTAGAGGCAGGAACATCTTTATTTGGTTTAGTAGGCCCCATATCCAGCTTTAGTACCTCCTCTATAGGTACAACTGGAGCAGCTGAATTTTCACAACCACCCATATCAATACTCCTTGCTCCTACACGATTTTGTCCTGGATCACCCCTGTCATTGATCTTCCCTGAAGATTGATTTTGTACTCCACTACTCACTTTAGCAGGACCTTTGTCAATCTTGGAAGCTTCACTTACATTGTTATCCTCACCTACACGATTCATAACTTTGTCCTTGTTCCCATTACCAATTTGATTTCCTCCATTTGTGTGCAAGACCGGCTGTTCTGCAGAATTTTTTTTGGCCTTTTCATCTCTCTGATGCACAGCCCTTTTTGCATTGAGATACTCCCTAGCATCACCTTGCAACTTATCAAGATAGCCCAGGATCATCATAATCTGGACTTCATTATGGCAATATATATTTTGCATCATTTATTAGTCCTTGACTATCTTCGTTAAACTCCCTCAGTCCTAAGTTATATGTGCAATATGCTTTTGCTATCCATTCTGAATAGTGTCCTAGTATTTTATTTGCTTGATACTGGAAGTAGTAAATCATGTTATACAACACAAGTATTGTGATGTGATTCTTTTTTTGACTTCTTCTTACTGCCATCCATATTTTAATTCCAAACAAATCAAATGTTATTTGTGGCTCATGTTCTTCTGAGTAAGATTAAAACTGTACACATTCTCACCTTAATATATAGACCTTCCCATTCATTTGGTGTTAGTTGTTGTTTACATGTTTATTGCTTTGTCCCTCTATATAGCTTAAGACAACTTTTTCAATTGATGAAAGGGAACAATGGTGTCTAGCCATTAATTTTTTTTTTTTTGCTTCTTTTTTCTCTGTCTAGCCCTGATTTTGTTACGTCAACATTGTTATAGTTTTTCTAACTAAAATTTCTTATTTCTTCTTCAGGTGTTGGATATTAAAGTTCAAGAAGCAGATTTTTGACGACATACTGATTGACCATCTTTTTGCTGGGAATGTCAAGAAAATTTTACATGTCAATCGAGAGATATTAGTGATATGTGGTTTTTTGCTAAATGTTTATGAACACAATATTGTGACTAGCTTACATCATTGATGTACGGTGAGACTAACTGATGTTGATCAATTTTGGTATTATTTATGAAGACAATATCATATTTATAATAATATACTCGATTTTCTAGTTGCAAATTGAATGTGATTTAGGGACATGTGACTTGTTTCTTTAGGGTCTAAACTGTTAGTCCTTAAATCCTTTTTGGAATAGAAAATTTGGCTGTTGAATCCACAGCTTTGTAGTGCTGCACTGTTTGACTTAGCGATCAACTTTAATCTTCTCGCAAAAGATATAACGACCAACTTCTAACTGGCCATGAAAGTACCGTTTAACGACCATATTTAAACTAGTCGCAAAAATATCCTAAGGACCAGGAATTTAGTCCCTAAAATATGCAAATAGGCACCAGAAACATGGTCCTTAAAAATCATTTAAGGGCTAGTTTTAAACTGGTCGTGAAACAGCTTTAACGACCAGCACCTCATCTAGTCCTTAATGAGCTTTAGCGGCGGAAGCTATAAGGACTAGATTAGGTGGTCGCTATTGACCATTTGGGACCATTTCCTTGCTTTTAGGGACAAGTTTTCTCTTTGCTATTGAGCATTTTTCTTGTAGTGGTACTAGTCTAGTCAGTCTAGGGGCTTGTAGTTACTATTTGCTCCCTTTGTTGTTCTATGTGATGTTTTTTTCTCCTTTTCATTTTTAGACCTTCGTCGGTATAGAGACTGTGGTTTGTAATGGCAGAGTAGGGACATGTCCTCGGGGAGGTCGGGTGATGGGGAGTGGGGTAGGGCAAGGGTCAGGGGGTGGGACGGGGCCTAAAGGGGGTAAATGGAACACGGTAGCATGTAGGTTGAGAATTGGGTCGTGGGATATAGGGACGTTGACGGGTAAGTCTATAGAGCTAGAAAAGATTCTTCAGAAGAGGAGGGTTAATATAGCTTGTGTGCAGGAGAGTAGGTGGGTAGGATCGAAGGCGAGGAATGTAGACGGGTATAAATTATGGTTCTCCGGAGTCGTAAAGGGCAATAACAAAGTTGGAATTTTGGTGGATAGGGAGCTTAGAGAGTCGGTGGTAAAGATTAGATGGGTGAATGACATATTGATGGCGATTAAGGTAATAGTTGGAGGGAGCACTCTAAATGTCATTAGCGCTTACGCGCCGCAAACGAGCTTGGACGAGGAGGTTAAAAGGCGCTTATGGGAGGCGCTTGATGAGATGGTACGGGGTATTCCACCTACGGAGAAGCTATTCATAGGAGGGGATTTCAATGGTCATGTTCAATCATCTACTGGTGGCTATGGTGAGGTGCACGGTGGCTTCAACTTTGGTGATAGGAACGGGGGTTGTACCTCACTATTGTATTTCGCTAGAGCTTTTGAGTTGGTGATCGTGAACTCTATGTTTCCGAAGAGGGAGGAACATTTAGTTACTTTCTGGAGTATAGTGGTTAAGACTCAGATTGACTATCTCCTCCTCAAGAGGTGTGATAGGGGATTGTGCGAGCATTGCAAGGTCATCCCGATTGAGAACCTCGCAACTCGACATAGGCTCCTGGTGATGGACGTCGGTATCTTGATGAAGAGGAAGAAGAGGTTTGTATGGGATCAGTCGAGGATCACGTGGGGAGCATTGTCTAAGGATAATGCACATGAGTTGGAGAGTCGGCTCACGAATATGGGTGCTTTGAAGAGTAGTGGGGGACGCTAGCGCTATGTGGACAGCGATGGCGGACTGTATAAGGGAGGTAGAAAGAGAGGTGATGGGAGTTTTGAAAGCTTACTTTGGCAGGCACCGAGGCAACTGTTGGTGGAATGATGTGGTCCAAGGTAAAGCGGAAGCCAAGAAAGCGGTTTATAGTGAGTTAGTAGAGAGCACCGACAAGGATCGAAGGAGAGCGAACAGATAAAGATATAAGGAGGCTATGAAGGAGGCGAAAGCGGTTGCAGAGGCTAAGACTGCTGCTTTTGGTCGGCTTTATGAGGAACTTGGGGGCAAAGGTGGGGACAAGAAGTTATTTTGGTTGGCCAAAGTGAGCGAGAAGAAGGCGCACGACCTGGATCAAGTGAGGTGCATCAAAGACGAGGACGGTCGAGTATTGATGGAAGAGTCCCAGATTAGGCAAAGATGGCAGTCGTACTTTCATAAAATTCTGAATGAAGAGGGGGATAGAAACATCGTTTTAGGGTAATTGTGGCACTTCGAGAGTCACCGAGACTTTAGGTATTGTAGGCGCATTAAGGTTGAGGAGGTCGTGGGTGCGATGGGTAAGATAAGTCGGGGCAAAGAGACCGGACCGGACGAGATTCCAGTAGAGTTTTGGAGATATGGGGTAGAGCAGGCTTGGAGTGGCTGACTGAGTTGTTTAATGTTATCTTCAAGACAAAGAGAATGCTGATGAGTGGTGGTGGAGTACAATGGTTCCGGTGTACAAGAACAAAGGGGATATCCAGAATTATAACAACTATAGGGGTATCAACTTACTAATGCATACCATAAAAGTTTGGGAGAGGGTGGTGGAAGGGAGGATAAAGAGGGTGGTGTCTATATCGGAAAACCAATTCGGTTTCATGCCGAGTCGTTCTACTACAGAAGCTATCCACCTTATCAGGAGGTTGGTGGAACGATACAGGGATAGGAAGAGGGATTTGCATATAATGTTTATTGACTTAGAGAAGGCGTATGACAAGGTCCCTAGGGACGTCCTTTGGATGTGTCTGGAGGTTAAAAGTGTGGTGGTGGCTTATATTAGGGCGATAAAGGATCTGTATGATGGAGCTATGACTCGGGTTAGGACTGTGGGAGGTGACTCGAAGCCTTTTCTGGTGGTTATGGGGTTACACCAAGGATCTGCGCTCAGCCCATTCTTATTTTATCTGGCGATGGACACACTGACACACCATATCCAAGGAGAGTGCCATGGTGTATGTTGTTCGTTGATGATATAGTTCCGATTGATGAGACGCGAGGCGGTGTTAATGGGAGACTGGAGGTATGGAGGCAGGCCCTAGAATCTAAAGGTTTCAAGTTGAGTAGGACTAAGACGGAATATGTGGAATGTAAGTTCAGCGGCGTGAAAGGGGAAGCAGATATGGAAGTCAGGCTTGACTCATAGGTCATCCTCAAGAGAGAAAGTTTTAAGTTCTTAGGGTCAGTTATCCAGGGAGATGGGGAGATCGATGGGGAAGTTACACACTGTAGTCTGGAGTCCTGTGTGACAAGAATGTGCCACCGAAATTCAAATGTAAGTTCTATAGAGCGGTGGTTAGATCGGCCATATTTTATGGAGCGGAGTGCTGGCCAGTCAAGAATTCACATATCCAGAAGATGAAGGTAGCAGAAATAAGGATGTTGAGATGAATATGTGGTCACACTAGGCTGGATAAGATTAGGAATGAAGATATTCAAAAGAGGGTGGGTGTGGCTCCAATGGACGACAAGACGTGGGAAGCGCGACTTAGATGGTTCAAACGCGTGCGAAGGAGAAGCCTAGATGCACCGGTTAGGAGGTGTGAGCGGTGGACTTTGGCAGGTACGAGAAGAAGCAGAGGTTGTCCTAAGAAGTATCGGGGCGAGGTGATCAGGCAGGACATGGCGCGACTTTAGATTTTCGAGGACATGGCTCTTGATAGGAACATGTGGAGGTCGAGCATTAGGGTGGTAGGCTAGGCGGTAATCGAGAGTTCTTCCCTCTTTGTACCGGGTAGTCTGATAGAGTTTTGTTTAGGTTTGTTAGCGGTCTATGTTGTGTTCACATTGTTTTTTTGCATAGTTTTGTGTTATTGTCCTTTCACTTATCCGTTGTTGTTATTTTCTTTCTGGCATCTTTTATTGTTAAATGCCTTTTCTTTTGTTTCTTTTCTGATATTATTATCTCTCCCGTTGAGCCGAGAGTCTCCCGGAAATGGCCTCTCTACCCATTTCGGGGTAGGGATCAAGTCTGCGTTTACTCTACTCTCCCCATACCCCACTAGTGGGATTTTACTGGGTATTTTGTTGTTGTTGTTGTAAGTAGTTCTAGTAACTATGGAATGGTAAAGGAAGAATGCGATAAAAATGAGAAAGGGATGAGACTGCACTTATTCAAATGCTACAGATATCCTATGATTCCAGAACATTATGCAAACACGATGTCGAGGATAAGAAGTAAGGGTTCCTGCACGAGATGTTGTTGATAGATAAGGAGCTAGTGCGAGACGTAAGTTAAGACAAAGATAATAACCCAAGAAAGATTTTGTGGGATAATTATATGAGAATGGGCCAACGAGTAGTTGGTAGTTGATTCAGGAAGAACCTGGTTATGTGGCTAGACAAAAGTTTACAAATGAATCAGCAGTTCGTGCAAGATAAACATTATGAAACCCAATATAGTGAATTCGGCCTCGCAGTAATGTCATTGTAATACTTGAGAAATATTCAGGTAGGTGTTGGGGTAGTTAAAGGTACCGTATGAGTGTTATGGAAATAAAGGAGAGTGCCACTGGGAAAACAGTCAAAATATCAATTTAGAATCAACCCTACAAGCATAAGGGTGTGGAGGTAAGAACTACATATAATTATAGGCGGGGAAGGACATCAAAAATTATGTCAAGTATACAATGTAATAAGATCAAATCCTTTCCATTTAATTTACCTAAGGTAGTATGATACGAAAGATATGTTAAGTTGGTACTCGGTTGAGTAAGGTACCGGTGCCCGTTGCGGCCCATAAGTTTGGGTCGTGACAAAAGTGTCTTTTCACACCCCAACCTAGGGAGGCGTAGCTGAAACCCGGTACTGTACTGGCCTGAGCGAACCACTTTGTAACTCATTTTTTTCCTTCTATAACTATCATGAGCCAACATGACCACAAATCGTATTGTATAACTATAAGTGGAAAACACTGTATCAATGAACCATATTTCTTAAAACATGAATACATATGGGTCGTCAAGGCCTCTGGCATACTATACAAACTGCACCTCTGTCTACAAAGCCTCTAAGAGTATTTGACATCAAATGGGATAGGGTACCGGTCTACCCATAAGTCTGTAGCAAAATTCTGACACGATGACTCATACACTCGGCTGCACTCCGAATGAGGTGGAGTCCTACCGATCCTTCGCTTAATGCTAACCTCCTCTACCATGAGGGATCGTCAAACTAATTGTCTATACTTGCAGGCATGAATGCAGTGTCCCCAGCAAAAAAAGTGTCATTACGAATAATATACCGAGTATGTAAGGCACATAAATAAGTATATAAAAGACATGGAGTAAATAACCCAACTTGTAAGTTTGGATAACTCTATAACTCATGAAATACTTATAGTATCATGCATATGCATATGAATATCATGTCGTGCATAGGTACATGTGTTCATAACATCATCAAGCCTCTGAGCGCATGCATCATATAATCTTTGCCGCTATGGGCAAAATCATCAACGTATACTAGCTGATCAGGTGGTGGTGCGTATATAACACCGTAACCTTTTACCATATCCCATATACATATAATATGCATATATATATATGCATATATAATGCCATCTGGTCATGGGTCAATGTACATGTATAAATGAATGCAATGCATGAGAAGTACGTCAATAAAATCTTTCGGAATGTCATTAGATCATTATGCCTTCGATTAACATCATGAAGTAAACTTTATCAGCTTATGTATTTTCTGAGACCCATAAATAGATGATAGAACAATAGGACACATGGGAAATCAAGAACATAAGCATCTCTTGCATTTCTATGAATAGAGTAATTTATGGAAGTTGTGCATTTGCTCGTTTCATTTGTATCGTATGGATCACGCCAAAAAGAAAGAAGGGATAGTTTTAACATACCTGAACTGATTCTCTTGACAATCCTTCTAACACACGTTAATTGTGACCAAACACGTGACGGTAGATCAAAGTAGGGGAAAATTCGTATGATATTTTTGAGAAAGATTGTATAGTACTCCCTTAGAATTGCAAATCCCGTTGCTATTACATTACGTAGTCTCGTATGAGTTTTTGCTACAAAATCATGATGCTAACATCTAATCTTTTATGAATGAGTCTGCTGAAGCTTTCTTTGGAATTGTAGAGATTTAAAATGAATTTAGAGAGGTTTTTAAAGTCTTTCGGTGTGGGCCCCACTTATGTGTGACCTAGCCACACCAAACCTTCTAAATATGGCACCGTTCAAATGAATTTAAGAGTCACTAGGTGGGCTGAGTTGGATGCACGTGGGAGGCCCATCAATCTTATCCAAACATGCTTAATTACACTAAAAATTCATAATTACCTAATTATCCATATAATTAAGAATTATCTCAAACTACTTAAAATACTACTCATTTTTAGCATACTTCATACATTTTACTGTCATGATCATGTGGTACCTTGTATGATACTAGTCCATAAATACCGGGTATTATAGATTGGACCGTATTTTACCCCCAATTTTCAAACGTCGACGAAACTTATTTTCTTGAAATTGCCTACCCTCTCATTTACACAAATTTACTTATCATATGTTTGAAAAAGCATAATACTTATAATCTCCAAATAATCTTTTTCTTGAACTGATGTCAATTATCTTACGACAAATTCAACGTACAATACTACAGGGTGTAACATCATCATAATAATACTACGGAGCGTAATATCATCGTAATATAATAATGCAGAGCGTAACATCGACGTAATACTGCGGGGCGTAACTGATGTGCCA